TTCCAAACATCACAAGATCACAAATCTTCCACTGCAGCACGTTGACAAAAGTTGTTGTTGGAGCTGGAAGTGAAGGCAGGGTGAACACAAATATCCTCCTGTAGATCTTCACATATATATTATGTGTCTGACAACTCTTTTTTTTTTTTTAAAAAAAGCTGCCTGTCAGCACACCAGACTGGCCTAACTTTAAACCATAGCAAAAGCCAATACAGCTGCAGGTTTAATACAGGCTATCTGGGACTGTGTTTAACACTAGAATTACTGAGCCTTTTTTTTCCTGGTGCAAGTCCCTACTACTAGATTTATTAGCCCTGCGCAAATTTGCGTAAATCCCCTGAACCTACCGGTAAGACCTCCTAGAATTACTGACTTTTTTATTTTCTGGTGGAAGTCCCGAGGTGTTAATCACCCCTGCTGAAATTTTCACAGGTCATCAGCTCGATTCTCCTCCTGTTTTTGTCTTTGAGGCCTGGAACATTTGCATTTGTTCACTCAGAGTAGCTCAGATCCAAGGCAAGAGAAAAATCTGTGTTACAACCCTACAATGGAGCTGAAGGCCTCTCAGCAGGGTACTAGGAGGTGTTAGGTTCAGGGAATTTACGCAAATTTGCACAGGGTTAGTAAATGTAGTAGTAGGGACTTACAGCAGGAAAAAAAGGCTCAGTAATTCTAGTGCTAGCACCTCGCTGAGATTTTCACAGGCCTTCAGCTCCATTGTTCTCCTGCTTTTGTTGTGCAAAACACCCTCCCCCAACCAGGAGAGATTTGTGTATGTGTAGGAGTGGCATTGCCTGACTACAGCACAGTGCTGTGCATAAAAGCAGACCAACCAGGAGGGAGAATCATTTCTTCTTCGCATTTCTGAGAACGCACATCAGGATGGCCTCCGTATCACTGCCACGCAGGAAGAACCTCTCCACGCACCAGGCTTGGGCCTTGCTTCAGGAAATAGACGAAGCAGATTCTGATGGAGGAGAGGTTTCATTTGTCCAGCAGGCCACTGATACCTCCTCAGAAGAATCTGAAAAGGAGACGGAACAAGAACCCAACATACCTCCTCGGAAGAGGCCCTGTGGTACTGGGAAGCCCTGTCTGAGCCAGACGGCAAAAGAAGGCACTGTGTGGGTAGAGGAGGACAATGGAATGCCCAGTGCAGGAGCAAATCGCTCATGCTTCACTGCGCAAGCTGGACCCACAGAGTCTGCTAAGGTTT